GTATTTCAATTTAAATTATGGTGCTAATTTCCAAATTTGCACCCATGCTTTTAAGTTAGCGTATGGAAATCTGTGTCCTCTTTTGTCCTTCGTGATGCATTTCTTATTTTCTGGTGAAGTATAAGTGGCCACCTTAAGTAACCCTGCCTAGGGTTGATTAATCCTTCATTAGTAGTTTCTCTTGTACTGCTTTGAAGTTAGAGCCTATGAAAACACCCTATTCTAGTATAATCATCCTTATCCCAGTTGCACGCAATTCTGTATTAACAATTGCAGCTGAATTATTTCAGCTGGGCCTAGGTATCTTTCAAGGAAAAGTGTGCTTTGTATGGAAGCATTTGTGCTTGGATTCCAGCAGCCCCATGCTTTGGTGATACCCCTGTCCTTTGGTTCAATGTACATTTAAAAATTATCTACTTTGGAGGCTGTGCTGCCAGACCTAGACCATTTGTTTAACTCTGGTCCCACAAAAATAATGCAGCAGGTTGATTAAACAGAGCTATATACAAGTAGAGATCTTTGCCAGTCTACTGCTGTACTGGAATTGTCTTTAGATGTTTTAATAATTGTTTGCCACTCTGGGCTTCTTTTGGTGGAAGGGCGGGATATAAATTTGGAGGAGGAGGATACGAATACTGCTGCTACTAAGCCCGTTGCAAGCCTCTTATGATAGATATTTTCTAGTTCTGGGTTAGGGAACCTGTGACCCTCCAGATGTTGTTGGATTCCAGATCCCCTCATGCTCAGCCTGCATGAACAATGATCAGAGATTATGGGAGTTGTAGTTCAGCAGCATCTGGAGGGCCACAAACCGCCCATTCTGTTAAGTTGTGGGTGAACATATCAGACGACACAGCGATTCTTCCAAAGCAGCTCTTTATTTGTAAGCTGGAACAGAACTGAACTGAAGAGCGCAGTCAGCCTGCTTATATAGAGCTCCAGAACAACGTAACTGTAGCAACTTTCTAAAACTATCCAATCACTGAACATCACTTTCGATCCTTCATTTGCATAACTATCTACAGTATCCCCCTCCTGGCCCAGGGTGAGAACTTCAGTACATAACACATTCCTTAAGGGGACTGTACACCATGAGCGTAAGAGCTTGAGGCAAAGGCCAGAAAAGCTTATGAGAATCTTTCCATGGCCTTCTACAGCATTTTAAAAGGTAAAGGGACCCCTGACCATTAGGTCCAGTCGTGGCCGACTCTGGGGTTGTGGCGCTCATCTCACTTTATTGGCCGAGGGAGCCGGCGTACAGCTTCCGGGTCATGTGGCCAGCATGACTAATCTATTCACCCACAAGGGCCCTGAAGCCCAGTCGCGCCAAACAAGGAGCCAACACATAAACTGCCAGCAGAAGCAACGTACCGATTAAACAGCTTAGCTGCAGATACACATAGAATAACACAATCCAGATGTGAGAGGTGCCTCAAGCCCAAATAGGCTGCTATACAGCCCAATGCAGGGGTGCACAGAAACACCAGATGGTTACATTGCCAACCCCTGTGTGGTCTGAACTGGTAATCACAGTTTAACAGGCCATTCCTTGGAGTCTGAAACCCATCCATAGAGTCGGATTTAAGATGGAGCTGAATGGAAAAGTTAAACTTGTGGCTTTCCCATTGCTTCTAGGTGAGCACCTGCTGACAGGAGGCATTTCATTCATCTGCATGGACATAAAAGTGGATTGGAAACCCAACGTGAAGTACAAACCAAGAATAATACAGGGGCTTGGGTTGCTTTCCCTGTTGTCATGTAAATTCAAATTACATCCCCAAGTGCTCAGACATCTGCTAAACCATCTCGTAATGAAAAACCTCTGGAAGACACTTAGCTGTAAAGTTTCATAAAATATTACACCCTCTTCTGCTTTGTAAGTCTCTCTCGCCCTCCCTCTTTCTTTTTTATCCTACTCCCACAAAAGCTCATTCGTGGCAGAAATATTCTTTTATTTCCTGGCAACTGGAAGCAATTAGTGACTTCAGAGCCAGAGGGTCTGGAAAGCCAGATGTTCTTGCCCTGCTCATAAAAACCAACAAAATTTGCAACACCTGTGCAAAAGCATGTGCCCAGTTCTATTAGCAATCACCCAGGGGTCCAGGGGGACCAGCGCTCACACAACAGAGTCACAGACATAGATATCTATCAGAGAGTCAGACCATTGCATTTCTGTTTATTTCATTCCCATTTGGCTTCAACGATGACAGAAATCATTCTGTCTAGTTCTGGTTCAGGCCAGGCCAGGTCTGGAAAGTGGCCTGACTGACACACCGGAACTGAAACATGTAAAAGTTACTCACCTCACAAGATGAATTGCCTATTAGCAAATGGCATGGAGCGAATTACCGTACTTTTCCGTGTATAAGATGAGAGTTTAAAATAATGTTCAGAATTGGGACTCGTCTTATACACAGATAATGCAGAGGGGGACAGGCGATTGGTTGCAGCCGCGGGCAGGAGGTTGTCAGTGGCGATTGGGTGGGTAATTGGTGGTGCGGCCAGGGCTGCTGTGGATGGTGGTGGTGGCGGCGGCAATTGTGTGTGCGCTTGGCGGCTGCTGGTGGTGATCAGGCCGACGCTTTGTGGGTTCATTAACGCATGCGATTGGCAGCGTTTGTCAGTCAGGTGAGTGATTTTTGGCAACCCCCCCCAAAAAAGCTCAATTCTGGGTAACCCCCCCCAAACTCTGGGCCATCTCCCCCCATTTTCTTAAATAGGAGTCCCCCAACACAGGGGGCATCTTATACATGGGGGACGGGAAAATACAGTAGCTATCTCGTTTAGGGATGCTAACTGGCTGCCCCCTGGCCAGGGGTGACCCATGATAAATGTAATCAACAAAATTAAGGGTGTCAATTCTACTGATCAAAGCAGTTGAGTGGACACATGCAGGGCAAGGGAATCTCGTGGATACATTTAGAGAACCCAGCAGCCTCTAGAAACACAGAAGATGACTATTTCTAGGCTTTGGGACGTGATCTACCTTGGAACCTGGGCAGTGGCTGCATTCACACAGCAGCTTATTCCATTTCCCCCAAGTTCCCTGCAAATTTCCACATACGTTTCCCAGTACGTTTCCAAGCACAATTCAAAGTGTTGGTGCTGACCTTTAAAGCCCTAAACGGCCTCAGTCCAGTATACCTGAAGGAGCGTCTCCACCTCCACCGTTCTGCCTGGACACTGAGGTCCAGCGCCGAGGGCCTTCTGGGGTTCCCTCGCTGAGAGAAGCCAAGTTACAGGGAACCAGGCAGAGGGCCTTCTCGGTAGTGGCACCCTGTGGAACACCCTCCCACCAGATGTCAAAGAGAAAAATAATTACTAAACTTTTAGAAGACATCTAAAGGCAGCCCTGTTTAGGGAAGCTTTTGATGTTTATTAGGTTATTGTATTTTAGTGTTTTGTTGGAAGCCGCCCAGAGTGGCTGGGGAAACCCAGCCAGATGGGCGGGGTATAAATAATAAATATTATTATTATTATTATTATTATATTTAAGCTTTTGCATGAGGTAAAAGCCAATTCTGAAAATCTACCAGAATATAGCAAAAGTTCAACATTCATTGATATGTTAATTGTTTCTAAACAAAAAAATATGTTTGCAACTCCATTAACCCCAAAGATCCCAGGCGTAAAGTGATGAAATTTGGGGCCACACACAGTTCAGAAGCATGCATCTGCATAGAGTAGTGAGGTTGAGCAGTAATGTTTGTTGTTCTGCCAAACCGCACCCACTGGTGTGAATTAAATTTAGCACAACATGCCGGTATATTGATGAAAAGGCCTCCATTCCATAACGCAACATGAAAGGAACATCAGGAAACAGGGCAAGGACTATTATAGTGCTATAATAAGGAAAGCTAGGGAATTTTCCATTTGTTTAAATGCCCTCAGTGCATGGTGGCTGCATTGAGTATATGGCCCCACAGACCAACCCATAACAAAAGCAGTTTGTGTCAGAAGCCACTGTTGGTAAGACTGCTACGTATATGCTAAATAGGTGGCTTTCTGCAACTACTTGAATAATTACAGGAATTTCCTAGCATGGAAGAAGGGCTGTCCTTTCCTGTTTGCTATAATGGTGTAAAGTAAGCAGGCATCCATCTTGCCTTCTGTTTCCCATCATAGCTCTTGAAGAAGGCAAAGAGTACAAAGGTCTGAGGAAATCCAAAATGTGTAAATCCCTCCACACATATTAGATTTGTGTGCTCATAAGTCATTTAAGTGGGTGCCGGTGGGACTGTCCAAGTATTTCACACTATTCAAAAACACTTTAAAAGCTCCTCATCCACCCTTTGTCACATCCCATTTTAGCCTCATGTATCACAAGATTGCTAGGAGCTCCTTCTTACATTCAGACTCAGTCCAAGGTCAAGGCGCAACCTCAGGGAGCGGAATTGCTACTGCACCATGGGCGGAATTGATTGAAATTTTACTCAAAGTAGGCCCACTGAAATTGATGGAGAGGATTCAAGTAGGGCCATTAATTTAAATGGGTCTACTCTGAGTAAAACTTGGTTGACTACCTCCACTTTCAGTCCAACCCTATTTTAGAAATGGTAAGCTGATTCATGTTGCTGTTGTTTTTAGTTTGGGGTCAGCATAGACTTCAGTGGTTCATGTTCTCTTCTGGCTTGTGGGGGGGCATGGTAGCTGTCTCCTTGTGCTTTCTTTGCTTTATTTCTGGTTCAGTTCAGCTCCCTGGTTTGTCTACGGCATGTTAATTTTGCAAAGTGCCTCATGGCTTTCCCCATCATTCATCCTCACAGAATCTTGTGAGGCAAAGCCACAAGTATTCCTGTGTCACAGATCCACTCTTGGCTTCCGTTCTCCCATTTGGAAATGAGAACATGGCCGGCTGCTCTGTTTTTGTAGAGCTCCATCTGCACTACACATTTAAAGCAGTATCATAGCAATTTAAACAGTCATGGCTTCCTCAAAAGAATTCTGGGAGCTGTAGTTTGTTCGGGGTGCTTGCTAGGAGTCCCTACTATCCTCCTAGAGCTACAGATAGCTCAATTGGTTAGGACGTGGTGCTGATAACGCCAAGGTTGCAGGTTTGATCCCCATATGGGGCAGCTGCCTTTTACGGGGTTGGACTAGATGACCCTCAGGGTCCCTTCCAACTCTACAACTTCTATTATTCTATTCTGTGAATAAGCAGAGATCCATGGGAAGAAGAACGGACCCATCTTGGGACTTCTTGCTCTGTGGAGGAAACAGGTGAGTAGCAGAGCCACTAAGTACTTGTATAAAAGACAGTGTCACGGCTGACATCTCAGTTTCCACTCAGGTCATTTTGCTATGAAGCCAGCGTCTGACCTCTGAAGTGAAGCTGTCGTCTATCTCCCTAGCCTCTCCCCCGTGCCCCCATAGGCTTCTCTTGCCAATTTTGTCCAGCAAAGGAAAAAAATAAAATCAGGAGACACAGGTTTATAAAGAAATATGAAAAAGTACTTTTTTCATTTGAAATGTAGAGGTTTTTCTTTCAAATGCTTGTGTCTGCTTAACTGGTTCTTTAATAGTATTGGTTCTGAGCGCAAACACATGTTCCCTTGACTACTGTAAAAAGGAAAGGAAAGGGGAAGGCATCTGGGTGGAGTTCCATCTTCCCATCTCTGCCTTTGTAGTTTTAGCCGCTGCTTGTCATAGAAGGCCATTTCGAACAAGCTAAAAACCTGAAAAGGGTCACATCACACTTGGATTTATTTATTTTAATGAAAGTTTTAAACTAGGTTAGTCAAAATAAATATTGAAAGAAGTGGCTCTTAGCACATTTTGTTGAGTTCAATGAGACCAAAATCCAACTACTTTCAGCTGCCTGCCGCAATATCTACCCTTTAACTGAAACTATGTCCTTGTGAACTCAGAGTACATGATCTAAAAAAAAATGTAGTATAAACACCGACAACTGGTAAACACTGGCCTGTGAGCAGTCCAATTGGAGAACAGCCTTTACCAAAGGTGTCATGGGCTTTGAAGACACTCAAACTCAGGACGCAAGGGAGAAACACGCTAAGAGGAAGGGACGCTAGGCAAATCCACATCGTCATCAACTCCCTCCTGGAAACCTATGTCCCCCCCCCCCCCGTAGAAGCATCTGTGGATCCAGAATTGGCCTCCACAGTCACTTACGGGCTCACTGTTAAAACCGTGTTCATGGAAGACAATCTTACTTGGCTACGAGTGATTGCAAAAGAAGAAGCATGGCGAATATTGTCTTACTTTCCCCAGTGCTTCGGACCTGCTCATAGCTATCAACTTTTCCCTGTTCTTGTGAGAAATCCTATTAGGAATAAGGGAATTTCCCTTTAAAAAAGGGAAACGCTGACAGCTATGGACCTGCTGTGTTATAGAATTGTGGCTTTTTGACAGATAAACTGGGATGTTGCCCTCAGTTTGGTTCATGCCAATGGGTGTGGTGTGACACAACAGCAAACACCATCAAACACTGTTGCTACTTCCCTGTGCTTCCTGCATACACGTATTTCTGCCTCTACATGAGGCACCCATGAAAACAGCAGGAAAGAACTATGCTGGTATACTGCCCCAAATCCCATCACTTTATTCCCAGGATTTTCTGGGTTAATGGGGTTGCAAAAAAAAATTGTGGGGAAGCAATTAACAAGGAAATCAGTGCTAAACCTCCACTGGGTTTCACTAAATTTCCAGAAGTGGCTTTGACATCATGTGAAAACTCAACTATAAATTGGGGAAACGAAATAACCCGCCGTGGGAATGCAGTCACTGTGGCACTTACTTCTGCACAGATATACTCAGTCTGGATCAACCCTTTGCCTGTTAAACTGATTTATACTCAGGAAGATGATAGCCTCTAGCTGATCTACATGTTGTGAATACTGGAAAATGAACTAATTATGCAAGGCAAGTATGCAAAAGCAATTATTTAACTTGGCTACTTTATTCCAAGTATGGGATTTGCATTTCTTTGCTCAGAATTGCTCACCATGCCACCGCCACCTCTCTGACCACTGCTATGGAGGTAATAATGGTACAAAGTCCATGCACTTCTGTCCTTATTGCTGTGTCTGATTGCATCACATGCCACCTCTATGTTTCAACCGGCCATGACCAATATTGCCCACTGCTAATAAGGCATATTGGAAATATTGCATACTACATCATTAGTTAGCTGCAATAGTTTTCAAGAATTTCTATATCTATTGTGTACAGATTAGCTTTGTTATTATGTCAAGAATCATCTCTATGTTTGTTCTAGTAACAGCTGCAACCATTGGAGAGCAGCCAAACTCTTACATTCGATTTGAACCAGAGTCCAGTTTCAGCCCTTGAACCTGTGAGTGATGTGTACTAAGGTACCCAGGAGAGTCCTTACCCCTCTCTGTGCCCCATGGGGCCCACAAGGAAGACCAGCTTAGCTGGGCATCTAAATGCCCTCACCTTTGTTTCCCATAGTAGGGTAGCCAGCTGCGTAGAATATTAGGATGGAATCATAGGTGGTCTGAAAGGCCCAAGGCAAGGATTTAGGGTGAGATGCAGTGAGTTGTTCAGAACTCTCTTGGATCAGACTACAGCAGCTGCACTTCAGCCAATCAATTTGATTTATTAACAAAAATAGACATAACATGGTGTTGCAGCCAGAAAATTCAGAACTGTCTTCTGAACTTTTCCTAACTGCTAACTTAACATAAGTAGGCAGGTAGCGTCTCTCGTGTGTTGCAGCGACAGCTGAGCCAAGAATCTGTAGCCTCTCTTTTCACCCTTCTGGCAGATGAACAGTAGGGAGTTTATGGAGCTTCACCAGCTGACTGCTGGTTGAAGACCCCCAGCACAGCTCTTGCTGAAATGTTCCTAGGCCCTGGCCTCTCAAACTGTCTGCATCAAGATGTCGGCAGGGGGAAAGCAACAGCCAGACCTGATTGCACTTTTTAAAAACGAAGTCTAGAAAAAGGAAAACAGAAGAGCAAGTTTCTACCATAGAGAAGCCCCCCCCCCTTTCCATTGCCATTTGCCTCATTTCAGAGGGGAGGGGCACCCAGTGGATGGAGGAGGGGCTCTGCAGATGATCTCTCTGGTCTGCTGGGCATGTGTTGAAGAAAGTGGTCTTCCAGGTAGCCAGAGTCCAAGCCAACTTTGCCTTCAATGGCCTAGCAATGGCCTTGCTTAATTGCTGGCCTGGAAAGGTTATGTTCCCATTGCCATCTTGTGCCTGCATACTGCACTATTTTCTTACTATTTTGTGTATTTTTTGTGTGTTTATAATGTAAAGTGCTCTGTGATCTTCAGATGAAGGGCACTGTAGAAATTTAACAAAAAGTTGAAAATAATAAAATTTCAGATTTACTGTATATGGTTTTGTTGCAAACACCAGGTAACTGGTGTAAATCAGCCTAACCACCTCTTAGCTCTGTTGCGAGAATTGGTTGGAACTGCCTTGATATTGCAACATAAAATGTCTTTGCAGGTTCAGCTTCCTTCCCAATAGCATTCAGGTCTGCCACTGTTCCTACAGCCCAAAGGAAACAGATTGTGCTAGGAGGTGTCATTTATAGCCATTCTCCCTCCAAATTATTCCATACCATTTACATTTCACCCTCCCACTGTCCCCACACTTTTTACCCTGACTTTTAGCACTTCCATACCCACCAACATTTCTCTGATGAAAATAGGGATGTCCTAAGGGAAAGCGGGACATTCCGGGATCAAACGAAAAACTGGGACAGCTTCTGTAAATCCAGGGCTGTCCCTGGAAAATAGGGGCACTTGGATGGTCTGCATTTGAGATATATATTTTAGGGCCCAACCAATGATAATTTGTTTTAACTGTTTCTAATATTCTGTTTTTGATGGTTGTAACCTGCCTCAGGGGACGTGGGTGGCGCTGTGGTCTAAACCACAGAGCCTAGGGCTTGCCAATCAAAAGGTTGGCGGATCGAATCCCCGCAACAGGGTGAGCTCCCGTTGCTCGGTCCCTGCTCCTGCAAACCTAGCAGTTCAAAAGCACGCCAAAAAGTGTAAGTAGATTAATAGGTACCGCTCTGGCAGGAAGGTAAACGCCATTTCCATGAGCTGCTCTGGTGTCGGTGTTCTGTTATGCCAGAAGTGGCTTAGTGATGCTGGCCACATGACCCGGAAAAACTGTCTGTGGAGCGGACAAACGTCGGCTCCCTCGGCCAGTAAAGCGAGAGGAGCACCACAACTCCAGAGTCATTCGCAAATGGACTTAACTGTCAGGGGTCCCTTTACCTTTACCTTTACCTTAACCTGCCTCAGACATTATGGTAAAGGGTGGCTAAGAAATCAAAACAATAGTAAAAAGAACAACAGCAACAATAATTATATTGAAAGCTTAAACCCATATTTTTTCCAGGCTTCAAAAATCCATCAAGTTGTTTCTTCAGAGTCTTAACTTTTGATCCTGCTGTGAATCCAGATGTTTCTGATCTCTCCCTTTCCCCTTTGCTTCTATCTCCTGGTCCACATCCAACAGTTTCAGTTCTGGCTAAGTTGTTGTTTCCTGAAGTTTGAGAAGCTTTGGCATATTCTATACAGCACAAAATTTAAAGCCAGAATTTATTCAAAATAAACTTTGACTTTTAAACATATTGCATAGCTCCATCTTTGCAGCCCCATTTTGACACAAAGCTGCAGACTTCAAAATGGGCGACAAAAGACACTTGACTGTGATAACCCAGTAGGTAGAGCAGGAGACTCTTAATCTCAGGATTGTGGGTTCAATCCCCACTTTGGGCAGAATATTCCTGCTTTTCAGAGGTTGGACTAGATGACCCTCATGGCCCCTTCCAACTCTACAATTATATGATTCTAAGCTCTTCCCATCTCTGTGAGGGCAGGGGGGCAGCAGTGGTGATAATAATAATAATAATAATAATAATAATAATAATATATTTATACCCTGCCCATCTGGCTGGGTTGGCGGCTTCCAACAGAACACTAAAATACAATAACCTATTAAACATTAAAAGCTTCCCTAAACAGGGCTGCCTTCAGATGTCTTCTAAAAGTTTGGTAGTTATTTTCTCTTTGACATCTTGTGGGAGGGCATTCCACAGGGCAGGTGCCACTACAGAGAAGGCCCTCTGCCTGGTTCCCTGTAACTTGGCTTCTCGTAGCGAGGGAACTGCCAGAAGACCCTCAGCACTGGACCTCAGTGTCCAGGCAGAACAACTGCCAAAACAGCACCATAAGAAGCGAAAGAAGTTCGCTTCTAGGCCCCATAATGCACCATCCTAATAACACCCTTGGGAGCATCTTTTCAGGCTGTGGAGGCTCCAGCATATGTGCAGAGAGCACTGAGGGTTTGTTTTCTATCAACCCACCAGCCGTGGCTCATGGTGCAAAATGGGAGTGCAGGTGTGATCCTACCCCAATGGGAACGCATCCTGGGGTGTGTGGGGTGTTAGGGAAGGAGTAGTACCTCTGGTGGGGAACATGTCGTGCTCCTTCTGGGGTAGTTTGTCCACCTTTTGCCCCCACCCTCAGGCGCACTCAGCTCCCACCTGTGGCTCCTGGAAGCTGTCAGCAGGCGACTGCAGCCACACCCCAGGAAATGCCTTTGACTGGCCGGCTAAACCAGGTGAGGGTGGCTGATGCATCTCAAACCCTCAGTGAGTTAGGGACTTCTGCTACGTGCAAAGAGAGGCTCTGGCGCATTGAGCAGATGAGACCAATAGTGGACCCAGTGGTCAGGAAGGTGGTTTCTGCATGTGCTGTAGAGGGAAGTGAGGGGCAGATGTTGCTCATCAACCTGGGAAAGTAGCCCTCTAGGAGAAGGAAAACTCTGATTTTAATCCTCTGCTGACTTATGGGAGAAGAAAAGGCTATGGAGTAAATCCGACATGAATCTGGAGTGGAGTTCCTAAGATGGCTGGATGGCGCCTTGTACTCCTTCTTCCAGTGTGGCCAAGCTGGTGCTCTGCTTTCCAGTGAGCCCGAGAGCGGGGTCTTGTTATCTAGCCAGCCAGGACTGCCACACACACGCGGCCCAGAGAGGTCGCTTTGGTGTTGCGAACACAGGGGTTTGGCTTCACTCCCAAAAGCACACTCCATTGTCTCTTGAGACAGACTGATGCCCACAACAACTGGTTGCAAGCTGGCTGTCACCTACACACACATCCCCTGCCCTCTGGACACCTTTAAGTAGTAGCTAAAACCTGGGTTGTTTAGGTGCAAATTTAAGTTATTTATAAATTGTGGTTTGAATGATTACCTCAGGTGTTTTTTAGCTATCTGTTCACTACTGGTTCAATACTATTCTCTACTTGGTTTTGTTTCTTTTATGAGGATCCTACTGCTGTTCTTTTTTAAAAAAAAAATTTGTTTGTGTTCTCTCTTTGCAGTTTTTAAGCAATACAAATTTAAGGGCAAGGGCAGTCAGGGAGGCTCCACTGTGGAGCCAGCAAGCTGGATAGAAATACTTTTGCAAATAAATAAATAAATGCCAAACATAGCGCTTTAAAAACTAGGAGCTCTTTAAATAATCTTACAGTGTGTTATCTATCACTTGCTAAACGGAACATTATGGAAGAAGTGTGCAAATCCTTTGGGCTTTGGTTCTCGAGCAACATTTAAGAAACAACAATGTGATTTCAAAAGAGATGAAATGAAAATCAAACCTCAGTGGTGCACCCCCACTTTGAAGGAGGGATTTTTTAAGAGCTTAAAGGCCACACTGTGGGAACTCTGAGATGGGACGTGTTCAGAGGGCTCTGCTTGTGACGTTTGTGTAATTCGTGGGTCACATTGCTGATAATAGCACATTTTAGAAGTATTATTCTTGGTTAACAAGGCATCCACGGCAATCTTCTTGAAATTACCCTATAAATAAATAAAACTGTGACAAATTATATTGGTATAGCTGCACACAAGGTGGATGGAACAAACAACAATAAACAATGTATTGCTGTTTGTACCTTCAGAGACTCATTTTTCATGTGTCTTTCCTACTGGGCTTGAGGTTTCTGTATTCACCTTTGCTCATTTAATGCCTGACCCTCCATATTAGTACAAAGTCCTGGGGGGAGGGGGAGTGTTTCTCAACCATTTTAAATTGGAATCCTGCCAGTAAGACTTGTTATCTTTGTTCAGGAAATACCTGCAGTTCTCCCACAAAACTCAGCACCTTCAGCTCCTTGACTGAGCTGTTTCCAAATCTGCACTGCAGTCTTGTGACACACTTTCAAGGGTCTTCCGCGGCCCAGGGGGAATCACTAACACACAAACTGGCACAGCGACAAGACAGTCAGAAAGTTAGGGTGCCAAGAAGGAATTTTCTACCTTCTTGCCAGAATAACATCTGATTTCCCGATTGACTTAATTTGCAAAGCTGTATTCATGTCTGCCGCTGTGGAACCTAGGTGATGATTCGCACGTTCTGTAGGTCATTTTCTTTTCTTTTTTTAAATAAATTTTTATTGTTTTCTTTAAGTATTCTTTTTCCAACAATCCGTACCATCACAATATTCTCCCTTTGACTCTGCCGAGTCTCAACTTCCCTCCCTCCCTTCAGTTGGTATATTTATCACATTCTTATCGTGTATATTATTCTTATATCTCTACTATTTTACATTGAAGGTATTATTCTAGTCCTGCTAGTGTCTTTAAGTTTTTACAGTTCTCCTTTAAGTATTGAATGAATTTGCTCCAATTGTTCTTGTATCTCTGGTCCTCTTGGTCCCGGATCCTCCCTGTCAATTTGGCAAGTTCCACAAAATCTGTCATCTTCACCTGCCACTCCTAGATGGTTGGTATATCTTGTGTTTTCCATTTTTGGGCCAGTAGGGTTCTTACGGCAGCTGTGGCATACATAAACAAATTCTGATCTTTTTTTTAATCTCCCTTCCCATTAGACCTAGCAAAAAAGCTTCCGGTCTTTTGGGAAAGGTGTATTTAAATATCTTTTTAAGCTCATTGTAGATTGATTCCCAAAAAAATTTAACCTTGTCACAGGTCCACCACATATGAAAATAATCACCATCTACTTCTTTACAATTGGAGGGACGCGGGTGGCGCTGTGGGTAAAACCTCAGTGCCTAGGACTTGCCAATCGCATGGTCGGTGGTTCGAATCCCCGCGGCGGGGTGCGCTCCCGTCGTTCGGTCCCAGCGCCTGCCAACCTAGCAGTTCGAAAGCACCCCCGGGTGCAAGTAGATAAATAGGGACCGCTTACCAGCGGGAAGGTAAACAGCGTTCCGTGTGCTGCACTGGCTCGCCAGATGCAGCTTGTCACACTGGCCACATGACCTAGAAGTGTCTGCGGACAGTGCTGGCTCTCGGCCTATAGAGTGAGATGAGCGCACAACCCTAGAGTCTGGCAAGACTGGCCCGTACGGGCAGGGGTACCTTTACCTTTACCTTTACTACTTCTTTACATTTCCAGCATCTTCTATCTCTCTTTCTATACATTTGAGCCAATTTTGTTGGCGTTAAATGCCATCTATACATCATTTTTAACACATTCTCTTTTAAAGCCATACATCCCGTAAATCTCAAACCCTCATTCCATAATTTTATCTACGCTTCCAACTCAATATTATGCCCAATGTCTATTGCCCTCTATGGGTCATTTTCAAGCAGGGCAACCCCTGCCCCACTAAACTATTGATTAAAAAAATATCTCATGCCTAATGCGTAGTGAAACTCTTTCTGCCCCATTCATTCCACCATCTGCTGCAGATGCAACTCGCCACCAGTCACTATGAGGCAGACCCACCCACAGACTAGCTAGAACAGGCACCCTGAGCACTGTATGGGGGGCGGGCGAGGAGTGGTACTATGGGCTGCCCTTTCCTTCCTCCCCCCCCCTTTTTTTTGCAGGTGACTGTATTTTGATTGCAGCATCTATTAAATAAATTTCTCAGGAGAGAAAAACTATTTTTAAAAAAGTCAAGTTCCTCTTGAGCTGTTGGAGTCCTCCCTGAATAATATTCAGCAAAATGGCAAAAAAATAATAATCAGTGAAATCATATTTGATTTTCCTGCCCACAGATTGCACTGAGAAGTCAGGAAGCCCCAGTTTGCTCTGATGCTGTGCTTTCTTTTTTTCAGCACCACTTTTCAATTTGTTTATTCTGGAGAAGCCTCTGTGGGGCCTACCTACTTTGAGTAAGATGTTGCAGGGCTGCATTCTTTATTTCCTTTGGCAAAAATCAAATGATCCTCAAATTCCTGTCTTCACCAGTGTCTCTCCTCTCTCTTGTTTGCTTTTGTTAATCTATCCCATAATAACAGGTTAGTCATTGTGGTTTGCAAATATTCCCTTTCAGGGGGTCATTTGATGGCATACTTGGCAGAAGATTACGGTAATTCTCCCAGTGTGCCAGTTGTTTCCAATAAGTAAAATTAAAACAGTCTTTCTGCTGGGTCTCTTTAATCTGGTACAAGGTGCAAGATATAGTCTGGATCCTGTTCCCCCGCTTTCCCCCTTTAAGAGCAAAGGGGTGGGAAAGCTCTGCCTGTCATTTGTCTCAATGCACTGGAAATCATTCCATTTATGGCATGCTGCAAAATCACTCGCACTTTTATATGAAGTCCAGTCAAATTACGTGTCTGTCTTAATTTGCTTGTAGAGGCAGTTTTCTGATGGGGGCGGCACTGGAGAATAAAGGATACAGAAGAAAGATCTTCAGGATTCTGTTGAAAACTTTTGAATCATGCAGATGATAAAAGTAGCTGATTCTTAACTGGCCGCATTTCAGTGGCTTCCCTCTCCTCCCTTCTGCTTTTGCAGCCAG